ACCACATTGCCTCCTAAATAAATAAAATTTTAAAAACAAAACCTGATAGAATGCCACAAAACCCAATGTTGACAACTACTGTGCAGGGTGACAATATACAAACAGGATGAAGAACTTACTTCTATGGAAGTCAGTGCAATAGGAAACATAGAGATGTATCAATGAATGATTCCCATATTGTCAGAGAAGTATGTGAAGTATACCAAAGACACATGCAATATCACATCCAAAGAAGACTTAAGAACATATTAGTTATTTTAGCTACTTTAGTAAAAAGGCATAATAATTATCTGAAATACCAAGAAGTATGTCAATAAAAATTACTCCCCCAAAATCAGTACAGTTTGTATATGCAGTAAAAGAAAAAGACTCAGAACATGACGGCACAAAAAGCTGTAAAGATGAGGCATTTTCACACGTTTTAAGAGCACAGTGAGATACAAGCAGAAAAACTGGCAGATCACATCTATGGTTTTGAAAGTACATGATTGTGATAGCAAAACAAAAAAGCTAAGAATGAAGAACTGATGACCAGTGTTTAAGCATCAGTGACTATATGGATAGTCTATGAGAGCCTACAAACTCTCAGATAATACTTAGATTTACATGCACTATAAAGTTCATGTAATTAGAAAGGTAATGATTACCTTACAAATATCAAACTATTTTTAAAAGTTGTGCTGTAACATGAATTGGTATTAAAATCATATACGATCACATTCAATAATTTCAAAGCAGTGATGAGCACAAATGGTATTTCAAAACTCATTCAATAATTTAACACATTCACAGTATATATTTAATGATGGATTGGTTTAAGAAGCTCACCAAAAAATGGATTTAGAATTATAAGCTTTGCTGCAAGGATTTTTTTTAAATCCATGTGAAGTTTCATTCATAACACAAAATTTCCATATTATCATTGAAAAGAATTTTTCGATGCTAAAAAACCAAGACTTTTAATTTCATTTTTCCATGGACTTTGTGAAGTTCCTTCACATACAATGTGAATGTGACATCAAAATATCTGTATTCCCTACTGGTACCAACAACATAAGTACTACTAATATTGTGGTCACACTATCTCCAAATCCAAGCTGAAAGGAGATACTTCCTTTGGCTAGAGGATAATGAATAAAAAGCACTTCTTTTTCTATTCCCTTTCAAAACTCTCATGTTGGGAACACTTCATCTAGACTGAGCTTCAATCAACAAAATAGGAAAGAAATACAATTTCTGGGAAGAATATATTTCAAATAAATAAACACCTTCTGGAAAGATTGATAAAATAATCCTAACATAGATTGGATTAACTCCAAAAGTAAAAAGGAAATTCCCCTATATCAACTGTTATTTAACAGTTTCCTTCACTTTGCTAAAAAGAGCACAGACGAACACCAGTACCAGCGCCAAAACATGATTCATTTTCAAGATGAATCCCTCCCTGCGTAAAGGTTTACATTGTCTTTAATCACCATCAGACTGTTTACCCACACAAATTGTAAATACATCGTTTTTAGAACTAACCAACAACAATGCCTGTGTTGTTTGGACATGTTAAGATACAAAAATAAAATGTAGAAAAATGACCACCACTCCAACAGCTATACTTCAAGGATGGAAAAAAAAAAATCTACAAAGTGATGGGAAAAACCTGCCATCTAGAACACCACACCTCCTGAAACATGCTGATTTCAAAAGGGAATTAACTGTAGCAGCATTATCAGTACTGACTCTCGCTCTGAAACTTCTGTGAAAATATCAAAAGATCTGGACCCAGTGTGATAGCCTAGCAGCTAAAGTTCTTGCCTTGCATGCACCAGGATCCCATATAGGAAGGTGTTCATGTCCCAGTGGTCCCACTTCCTATTCAGCTCCCTGCTTGTGGCCTGGAAAAGCAATTGAAGATGGCCCAAAGCCTTTGGACCCTGCACCCACATGAGAGACCCCAAAGAAGCTCTTGGCTCCTGGCTTCAGATCAGCTCAGCTCCAGCTGTTGCAGCCACTTAGGAAGTGATGATCTTCTTCTCTGTCTCTTCTTCTCTCTGTATATCTGACTATCCAATAAAAGTCTTTAAAAAATATATCGGGCCCGGCGCAGTGGCGCAGTGGTTAAGGTCCTCGCCTTGCACGCCCAGGATCCCATATGGGCGCCGGTTCTATCCCGGCAGCCCCACTTCCCATCCAGCTCCCTGCCTGTGGCCTGGGAAAGCAGTCGAGGATGGCCCAAAGCTTTGGGACCCTGCACCTGCATGGGAGACCTGGAAGAGTGTCCTGGCTTCGGACCGGCATAGCATCAGCCATTACGCTCACTTGGGGAGTGAATCATCAGACGGAAGATCTTCCTCTCTGTCTCTCCTCTCTGTATATCCGCCTTTCCAATAAAAAATAAAATAAATCTTTAAAAAAAAAATCAAAAGACCTAAGAAAGCAATAAATCTTAACAGAAAAGAAGAAAATGTTTTGACTTGAAATTCAAGTATTATTCTTCAACTACTGTCATTTTACAAAATCTGTCATTGTTTGGAACTTGTAGCCTTTGACAAAAATATATTGAAAGGTATTTGGTCAGTCATTTAATTCTTTCTTTGGAGTAGATGACACAAGAGGGCAGTGTGTGTGTGTGTGTGTGTGTGTGTGTGTGTGTGTGTGTGTGTATTACACCCAAATACTAGCAAAAAATTTGTTGTGTGGTTTGATCAGTTTAAAAAAAAAAGAGGAATGGGAAGAAAATAAAAGGCAAAAAAGAAGCCTTCAAGAAATTCACGGAAAAATTTTTGCACCAAGAAAATCAATTTTGTTCCCCTACCTTTGTAAACTACACTTGTGCATCTAGTTGCCTCACAAAGACATTGATTCTCTCTTCAAACAACAAACAAATAAAATGGTCAGTGGGCAATACAGTGCACAGGGTAAAGTCATTGCTTTCTAAAGCTCACAGCCCAAGAGAGAATGCCAGGCAGGATTCAAATCCTGGCATCACTTCCAATACAGCTTTCTGCTGATACTACCCCAGAAAGTAACATGCGATGATGATACAAGCATTTGGATTCCCACAACCCATGTACAAGATGTGCTGGTGTCCTGAATTTCGGCTCGGTCCAGCTGCGGCTGATATGAGCATTTGGGGAGAGAACCAGCAAATTGAAGATATGTACTCCCATCTCCATGTTTACCACCTTGTAGTTTTGCCTTTCAAATAAATACATTCAACTTGTTAAAACCAAAAATATTCAGCACAAAAAAAACCTTAAGTAACTTATATTACACAAATAAACACCAATTTTTTGTACCACATTTAAATAGAGGTTCTACATTTTTAAGTTACACTAGTTTTCCTCAGGATACATGTACACTCACACAGGAAGGTTTAAGGAAAAACTGAAAATAAACTCTTGTAATACAAATGCACAAAATTAACTAAATATTAACAAGACCATATGTGATGTGGTCAATACAGAAACTAATAATAAAAGTAGGTGTATACACAAAAGAATTGCAGACAAGTATATAAATACACACACATACATGTTCATAACAGTATTACTCACAAAAGTCAAAAAGGTGAAACAAGCAGGGGTGTAGCCCAGTAGCTAACACACAGGTTAAGACTCCCACATCCCATATCACAATAACCAGGTTCATTTTAGGGTTCACTGTTTGGCTTGAGAATTCTGCTAATACAAATTCTGGTTTTCAGTGGTGATGGCTCAGACAATTGAGTTTCTACAACCACATGGGAGTCCTGGATTGAATTCCAAGATCCCATTGACTTTGTCCCTGGATGGAAGTTCACTTTATTTTTCTCATTGTCTCTCAAATAAAATAAAACCATTGTCAAAATAAAAGAGTGGAAATACAAATGCCCACAGATGGATGAATGGATAAACTGAGTTACCTATCTAAAATTTCCCAATATTAAAAACTAAAATGGTCATCCATCAAAACAGACTCTGCCATGCTCCAGATAGTGTTATCTAATGCCAATATTTTTGTTGGATATTCATGACAATGAAATAGTATACTATTATGTGTTCATCTCACACAATTAATTCATATATGAATGGATGAATTCAAAAAATTCAAAAATGAATATGCCTTTATACCAAGAAACAAGTAGGGAAAAAAATTGCATCATTATACCTAATAATCCCAATCCAAAAACACAAATGTACAACAGTAATAGAAAAAATAAACAAACAGAAGCACATCTGCAGATTAGAATAAGTTAGAGCACTGGAAATAGTGAATTAAATCTACCTGGAACAATGTGAGTGAAATTCACCAGTATAATGTGAAGAAAATCAAATATCTCAAAATTTAATTCCATCTGTATAAAAACTGGAAAGAACCCTGCTTAAGGATGCTTTTAGGTCTGTTTGTTTAAGTCAAGATGTGACAACTATATGGGTCATAATTGTGATTTTACATTATGGAGCACATAAAAGGGAACACTGATAATGTTCCATTTAGTGACTGGGAGGAAGGTTACACAACTACTCACTCTAAGATCAAGCACCAATACACACTTTCATTTCTCCTACAACATTCTGGTTAAAAATCTGCTGAGAAGTATTTTAACATAAAATGCAACTGTTACTCTATCTAAAATACACATGAAGCATGATCATTCCGCTCCAAAAGTGAACAAATCTTCATGAATTACGCTCTTAGAAGTGACAGAACACATGAGAAGAGCTAGGCAGAACAACAATCATTTCCCAAGCTATGAACGTGGCCCTAAACTTTAAATATCCTAAACATACCAAATATCAATTATATATCAGGAACAAGAGGGAATTAAAATATAGTCAACCACTAGTATCATATTAACTCCAATTTATTCAATGATGAAATGAGTAAAAATAGCTAAAATGAGTCTGTAAACTTATCTTTACATGAACAGGTAATAAAAAGTTTTAATTAATGCCAGACCTCTAAAATTAAGGTAAGGAAAGTTGACTAGAATGAGTAGCAAAGAAAGAGAAAATTAGGTTTACCATGTAAGGGTGAGCCAGAAGGACTGCTTGATAGTCCTGGAACAGGGCTACAGCGACCTCCCTGTTTAGACGTCAATTCTTGTTCGATCTCTTCCAGTCCAGCACTTTTCTGGAATCGGCTCATGCGATTTACTACTCGTGGTGATGTATGTGTTCGAACACAAGGCTGGCCACCATAGGGGTTGATGGGGAACACGTGCGAAGTACCCCGGAGGGTACTTACTACAACCCAACGACAGTCATGGCTGAAGCAGATGTCTTGCACCTAGAAATGAGAAAACATACAAAAATGGCTAAAATTATTTAGAATATTATATATCATCAAAATTTGGCTCAGAGTAAATTACAAATATAAATACAGTTAGGAGGTTAACAATGAAGACTGATCAAAACTCTATGTCAGATTTCATAAAATTTAAAGGAAGAATTCTGTCCCTTAGTGCACCACGTACCAAGTCAGAAAACAGGGTCTATGCAGCTTCATTCTATTAACTTATGAAGCTGTAAGACAAAACAGTCATATATTTTGTCAGGTTTCTTTTTCTTTCTTTTTTTTCTTATTTTTTCCCTTCTATTTTATTTTTAATTGTATGGTACAATTCCATAGGCTCTGGGATTTCCCCTCCATCCTCCCTATATTCCCTTTCCCAAACTTATTTCCACCATATTATTAAAATAGCATAGTACTTCATAAACAGTCATAAGTGCATCATTCTGTTATTTAAGTGTGTCCTGACATTTTTGGTACAGACTATGGCAGACAATCCACCATTCCACTGTCAAGATATATTCAACCGTTTCATTGGGAGTCCATCTCCCAATTCTGGCTTCCAATAGCAATGAAAATCAAAAACATCCTATATAATTGAGCCAGAATTTATTTAAAAAATATTTACTGGACACCAAACTAAGCATTGAGAACAATGAAGTAAACAAGAAACAACCATTGTGCTTACAGTATAACAGGAAGACAAGGCATGAATACTTATGAAACCAAAATATATATCAAGCAAAAAAAACTGTCTTGTGTACAAGGTCTAGAAGTAATAAGCAAAGAAAATATGAACTCGGCCTCCGAGATTAAGTTTTCACCTCATTTCCCCCACAAGATGGTAGCCGTACAACATAAAAAATAGACCAAGAACCAAAATAGCCAAGGGGCCTGGAATTTACATTTGATTTAAGATTCACTTACCAGGAAAGGAAAGACATTGCAATTTATATGTGTAGCCATTTCACATGAGATATACATGTGCAAATATACATTACAAATGAAAGGCACAAACTCAGAGCAAGGTGTGATTTTATTTTGTTTAAGAAGTAGTAGAGATAACATTTGCTTTGGAAGGATGTTTCTACAACTAAACTAAGAAGGGGACTAAGAGGAAAAGTAAACAGGGAGTTGCTTCCATGGAAGTAGATCTCTGAAGACAACTGAGATGAAGAAAAAGCCCTAAAAAAATAAATAAATAACTGCACAGCACACAGCAACAACATGCAAATATTTTCAACAGGTGGCCCTCTTTCTCAATAACGAACCATAAAGCTCTAAGGGCCCACAGTCTGCTGTCTGCCATTAACTCAATTCTGCCCCTGTCTGTCATACCAGATTTGGAAAACATGTAAATAAATCAAGGAAGCTATAATTAAACAACAATTAAGTAGAAGTCTTCAAAGGAAACAAGCACTTCCCAATATATTAGATATTCAAATGAGCCTACTCTTCATATTCACCAATGTATGAGTTTCTAAGAGAGCTTAGACACTCTTGTAAAAAAATAAGTTTTCATTTTATGTATCAAGGCAAACATTTCCTTGTTAGACAGTTGTTAGACAGTTGCAAACATGCAAAATCACAAAATCTAACCACATTTGCCCAACTTGATGAATGTGATACATTCTCATTGCACATTAATATTATAACGGAAGATGAACCTGACAGCTGACAAATTTGAAAAACAAGGTTTCAGGCAAAAAGTTACCCCAGAAGCACTTAATGTATATCATTCAATGTATATAGTTTGCTTAAAATAACCCTGCTTCTGATCCAGCTCCCTGCTTGTGGCCTAGGAAAGCAGTCGAGGATTGCCCAAAGTTTTGGGACCCTGCACCCACGTAGGAGACCCAGATGAAGGTCCAGGCTCCTGGCTTCAGATCAGCTTGGAATGAATCATCGAACAGAAGATCTTCCTCTCTGTATATCTGACTTTGCAATAAAAAAATAAAATAAATCTTTAAAAAAGAACATGGATTTATAACAAAACAGAATTCCACTGTGGCATACAAAACTTAAAAATACAGGAAAAAGAAGTGAGTTCAAATAAATAGTATAAAGAAATGAGAAAAGGGAGATTTAGAGACAGGAAAAAAAAATCTTACAAGACAGTCAAAATCAAAGCCTGAATTCTATTTCTCAATTTTTGACTTGTATAAAGATGGAAACAGAAATACTTTAAGAATCTATGATGGTTTAATAAAATAGCGGAAAATCCATTTTTAAAAATGTCTATAATAGAAATTACCATACAGAAAATTTCCCAATAGTTTTGAATTTCCTAACACCCACCACTAAAAACCTCCTTCCATAAACAAATAAAATCATATACAGCATATGTTCTCTAACAATAATGTATTAAAACTGTAAATCCATAAGGGAAGGAAAAATCACTAAACATATGGTAATTAAACAATATATTTCTAGCTCACAGTTCAAATACAAAGTCCCAAGGAGAGAGAATAACAAAATTCACAAAGCTAAACAAAAATGAAAATAATGTGTAATAAAATAACAAAAATGAAAACAACGCAGTACTGCAAGGAAATTACACCATTAGATGCTTAACTGGGAAAAAAAAATAAAGGATTAAAATCAGTTATATAACAAACATAGGACTGAAGCCTAAGCAAAGCATTCTTTAGCTTCATTTTAATGCATGGCCCACAGAGAAATTTGCTATCTTGAATCTTAACAAACTAAAAAATCTTTGCTTTCTAAGAGCCCACATCAAGAAGATGAATAATTGGTAAAAGAACTATTTTTAATAGAAAGTAAAGCTAAGCAAATCTGTTTGTTCTCATCAAAACTAGTAACTTTCATCTTCCAAATTCTTCTACAACTGAGCCTGTAATTATAGTCTTGGGCATCTGTACCAAAGAAATGAAAAAGTATGTTCACCTAATATATGAGTCATAAATATGAACTGAATATAGTCCACGTGTTGCTAAACACATGAATATTCAAATAGTCAAACATATGGGAGGTATGTCTGGTAATAAAAGACAACAGGAAGAAGCTTTTCAGTATTATGAAGATAACCACTAATACACAAGCCAACATGAAAACGCTTTAAAACTACACAAACTCATACAAATGACTGCAATTAACTATGACGAATTCTAAAAAGAGGTTTCTTTAGAATATATCATCATTATCCTCGTTGTGATCCACTATTACTCTGCAAAATGTGACAACTGAGGCAAAACTAGGAATGAATACTCTAAAACATGAAATCTTCAGAGATTATTTTTTGCAAATCATTTAAACCTACAAATATTTAATTTTTTTTTTTAAATGTAGAGGGAGCTAATGCAATGGCACAATAGCCTAATCCTCAGTCTGTAGGGCTAATATCCCATATGGGAGCAAGTTTGAGTCCTGGCTGTTCAATTCAAACTAGTTCCCTGTTTATGGCCTGGGAAAGCAGCAGAGGATGTCCCAGAACCTTGGGTCCCTGTACCAAAGGAAGCTCCTGGTTCCCATCTTCAGACCTAGCCAAGCAGGCCATTGTCATCATTTAGGGCATGAAACAGCAGATGGAAGCTCTCTCTCTTTCTCTTTCAAATAAAAATAATTTTTAAAAACACAGTAAACATGAAGGCTTATTAACATCACAGCAAAGATTCATCAGTGCTCAAGAGTTTGGGTTCCCACTGCAGCTTAAAACTAACTATAGAAGTGGACAAGAAGAGGTTAAAGATGACAGACAATTGCGGGGATGACATAGGGCAGTAGTGGGCAAAGGCAGGATATAATCAGGGAAAAGGTCCTATTGTGTCTGGACATTAATACCACATGTGAAAATTGGCACCTCATTCACGGTGGGGGCAGGGGAACACATTAACATTAGGACACCAACCATGATTCCAAGGGCCAAGTGACAGAAAAACTCTGTCCCACAGTATCTACAGTCTGACCTCCCTCTGCCATCCAACCAGATAATATTACAGCATGGCAGCTATTTATAGAGCAGCTGAGTGTGTAAACACAAGTTCTGGTAGAATTAGTACAGAAAAAAAAAAAAACCCAACCTACTAGGTTTCCAGTTAGTTCCTGTGTCACAGAAATCCAGGAGAAAAAAAGGACTTAATGGCAGATGAAGTAAACTGAGGTGTTTATTCCAGTACAACATCGCCACCTGCCTGATGCAGTAACCAAGTACACTGCCTTTTGCAGACAGCAGCTACCAACCTGCTACTGAATTTAAACTGTAACTGAAAACTGACTCATGAAGACTGTATTGTGTTCCAGACCCACTTTGGGAAAGGTCACCTAAAACTTAGGAATAAACAAGACAAGATGGAATAACGGGCATGGAAATGGATACTCCAAAGTACAAGAAGACAAGAAACTTGTGTTTACATCTACTGTATCACAATATCTGAAGAAACATACAGGGCTAGCTAGCACCCAGGCATAGTAGGATAAGCCTGTATGTGTTGTGCTGGCATTCCATATGAGTGCTGGTTCATGTCCAGCTGCTCCACTTCCAATCCAGCTCTCTGCTTACTGCCTAGAGGGACAAAAAAGCAGAGGATAGCTGAAGTCCTTGGGGTTCTGCACCCACTTGGAAATCCCAGAAGAAGTTCCTGCCTCCTGATTACAGATTGGCTCTGGCCACTGCAGCTATTATGAGAATGAATCAATGGATGGAAGATCTCTGTCTCTTCTTCTCCTTGTAATTCTTTCAAATAGAAATAAAAACAGATCTTAAAAAAAGAAAGCAAGAAAGACTATACATTCAACAGGGACATGATCCATAGAGCTTCCTCTAAATGCTTTTGTTTGATTCTGGCATGACTCAGCTATAATGAAACTGAGAGTGACTACCAAGCCTAGGCAACTATGCTATGCGACTCAAACAACCAGAGTGGAAGGCTAATTAACTAAGGAAAAGTCTGCACAGGAAAACAATAAGCTATCAATCCTGCTTTAAGTCAGAATTAGACTAATGATCACCATTGGTCAACCATGTTCATTCATTCATC